CCTCTGAGGCATCGGTGGTCGAAAACCTGCCGCAGTATTTATGTATTCCTTGTCTACCATTTGTGCCGTGCGATTGCTTCGAATAACTCCAGTATCCGAACTAGTCTATTTCTTAAATCGAACCACTTATTGCAGTTTTTTCTGTCGTGGCTAACTGGGAATACCAACACGAAACGAACACTACTCTAAGTAGTCATAGTCACTCATAGAATTTTCCCATTTCTGTTGTAAACCATAATTCTGGTAACTCCACTAATTACTACGGGCCAATTTTTTAATAACCGACTTTCCAATATTTACCGATACCGGTACGGTCATTCAGAGCGAAATAGCTCTCTTGATTTTTGTAATTCTTCACAAATTATTCTAACAGGAAATGCGTCATCCACATGTACTTACAATGAAGTCAGATTTTTTTCGTTGGTGTATAACATTCAAGAAAATTAATCAAATAAATATGGAGTTAGATTTACTAACATGCTGCTCAGCATATTGAGAACGTCTATTCGTACGGTCACAAAACGTTGTCAAGCTCGGTGAAGAGATCAACTGCAGGTCACTGCAGTCGTTTTTCGGTTTTGGTATAGCCTAGAATTCAATTAGTTGTATCACCTGAACTATAACAGTCAGCGAGCATTGACGGAGAGGTGAAAAAAACTCGTAACTTTTTCCAGAAAAATTTTTACTCTCGAAACAACACTTTTGGAGGATCACGATAAAGTGTTCCTTGTTGTGAAATGTTCATAACTCGTAGGGACCGCAGCATTGGATATTTTAAACAGCTTTTACGCGTGACTGAAGAGATAGTTTATTACATTTTATTTCAGTAGTCATGCACGTTTGTAGCTGAAACATACCATTCAAATTTTGTCAAATTTTACCATAGTTAATTCCTAATTTCTTTTTTCCAGAGAAATTTTTACTCTCAAAACAACACGTTTGGAGGATCACGATAAAGTGTCTCTTGTTGTGAAATGTTCATAACTCGTAAGAAACGCAGCAATGGGTATTTTAAACAGCTTTTACGCGTGACTGAAGAGAGTTTATTACATTTTATTTCAGTAGTCATGCACGTTTTTAGCTGAAACATACCATTCTAATTTTGTCAAATTTTACCATGGTCAATTCCTAACTTCTAGGTAGTTCCTTCAGGTTATTTTTGCGCAGTCTACCTGAAGTTGAATTGAAACTCAAAACAAGATGAGCTGGAGAAAGGTTTTACTAGAGCGGGCCGACAAACATGTGGTAGTCATTCGAACGCCGGTTCACTTCCAAATCTGTGCTTTATTCTAACGTCTGGATCATTTTTGCAGCCACTCCTATGTTTGGTTGTGTGTGTGCGCGTTTAAGGATAAAGGCCGTGGCCAATCCCGGCCAATGAATTCACTCATGTCCTGTTGGTAAATTTGCTTTTTTGCAACCATTCGATTCAAGGCTCGAACGGTATATCAGTGACTTCGGACATTTATATGAAGGTAATTCCTTGATATATATATATATATATATGTATATATCTATATAAGCAGCATATATGTTTGGTCAAGAAACATTCAGCTCCCTGGCGTGAAATAATAGGAAGGTATCAAAGCAAATGATCTCTTATGAGGGAGCAACTCCAGTCAAGTGCTTCCTGCCTTTGGTTTGTACTCACCACAACCGGTGTTCCCGGGAGAGAAGAACTGTTCAAACGGATGTGTGAACACCACGATCATCGGTGGTTCACACCTGCATTGCCAGAAATTTTCGTTACATCTTGGTGCTTAAACAATTTGAAATTATTGAGCCGGTCACCAAGAGCCTATAGCTGGGGGGTTTGTAACAGCAGCCGATACCTACGTTGCTGTGTGATGCAACTATAGAAATAAGGTCCGTTCGGTCTAAATGCCCTTCATCCATGCTCAGCCATTTAATTTTTGATTTAAAATCCCAATCCACGACAGTTTAAAACTGTCCAAGTAGTGTATCTTGCATGGTTATGATGAATATGAGATTTAAAAAAATTTCTGCTGCGTGACATCTACAGGTATCAACTGTCTAGTCTCAAATAAGTCAAACGTTTACCAACAACGGCATTATTCTTCCACCCATACTGGAAATTCTGCTGTGAAGAAACCTTTGCTTGTAGAGCCCACTCTATGCACGCGACGAGATGTTGCATAACTAGGATCATCGATTTACTCTATTTTAGAGTTTTTAATAGAATAATCCTCAGTTTCTCCTATCTATATGGTGATATCCACCAAGATTTAATGCTATTCTAACGCGTTTGCGTTAGATTAATTACGTTTTCATAGTTCATCTACTATTTCCGGCTTGTTATAGCACTGGTGGTGTACAGATGTACAAAAATCGTGTGTTCTCTTGAAAGCAATGAGAGACTGCGAAGTAGGGGTGTCGATAGAGTAAGCTAAGGTAAGGAGTGATCAGTGAGAGGCCATTCATGACCGTATCGAGCGCTTGTTTCCTTCGGTAAAAAGCTGTTTTCATTTCTCTTTCTTGCACTATCTAACCAACCGCCCTTGCTTTATCGCTAGTGGCAGCTCACATGTCTGATTACTTAGTGTACTGAAACTGTGGATCGTAGGTACTGAATTCAATTCACAGACGGATTGCGCTGTTATGAACATAAACCGGTGTTTGTTTCCTTGATCAAGTAAACTACTAGGCTTGTAAGCCCAGGAAAAGCTTTGATAATACTATCGGAATGATGCTATTTTGCAAAAATGGAAACGAATTAGAATAAACAATAGAGGTAAGGGTAGATTACCGTAATAAACTCTGTCCATTATTGATAGGCATTTATGTTGGCTCCTCAACAAACATTTTGATTGATTCAATAAGCCTGTCATGATCTCCATGTATCTCTATTTAACGGACTGGTATTCACAGTCGTTTTTCTGTCTGCCAGACTAATGCATCAAACCAGTCCGTTGTGTTTGTGTTGAATAACCTCTGTGAATTGTGCTCTGTCGCCTAAGGGATTAGTAACTTTTCAGCAGGTACATCCTTGGGGACACCACTGTACAAGGTGTAACCCCCATTTTTAATTTTAACTCAGTGCATATAATGATGAAGGACAGTGAGTCAGTTGATGAATATCCTGATTATCCACAGGCAGAAAACTTTTAGAGTCATGTATCTAAACAGCGGTAAAAGCCATTCCAGACTTTGTACAGATTTGTACAGATTGTGCTACGTGGATATGAGGCCTATATCCTTTACAAAGGAGAAGGCTGGTCACCGGCAGAACGCTACATTCATTGGCCACGTCGGACGATTTCTTGTAGTTTTTCCCCTAAAGTGTGTATTTCATTCTATTGAGGTCCTATCTCGTGCAGAAGTTCTTCAGTCGTTACTTTTCCCGTCTATCTTATCTGCGTGTGAAAATAACAAGGACACCCTGACGTGCACACATCTGCTTTGAAGTAAAATCAATCGCTGGTTGACATAACAAAACTTATGCTTTAATCGATGAGGAAAGAACGTTGCAGTAAAGAAGGAAAAGAAAATGAAAGAGATAAGAACGGATATTAGATTAATTCCGGTCCTAAGGGAATCAGTGATGGCCGGCTGGGTTTTCCACATCACAAGTGACGAAATCATTGAAACAGTAAGGCATATCGGTCATTTAGCGATGCTATCCTGAGTATTCTGTTCAGGAAATCCTCCTTTAGAACACCTCAGGAGACGACCGGTGATGGCCGCTGGGCATTCAGTGGAAAATTCAGTGGAAAGAAAACACCCTCGAGAACTGAAGCCCGGGGATTTCAAGTGAGAAAAATCCTATGGTTCCGCTATCTACTAACGCGTCACATTAGAAAAAGTCAAAATTTGCTTAAAAGATTGTAAATTGTTTTAAAAAACTTTTCCTGTATAGAAGTTCAAAGGTGCTATGAGATTCTTCTCATCTGCCTTAATAGCAACACAGAAGATGCGACCCAGAACTATCTGTCCAATCGGTTGAACATTAAACATGGTTTGGCATCACAAGTTGTCACTTAGCCCACCGTCTCCTCTTGTAATAACTCATCCATTTTTCTTATTTTATATGGACTCCCACCTTTTTTAAGGACGCATTGTGTTGTTTTAGCTGACCGAGTGAGTCTCTGTTTTGCATTTTACATGGTATGGGGTGCTTGCGCCAACCTTTCACCTTGGGTTATCCGGATAGAACTGGTATAGGTGATTCACATTAATTTATTAGAGCATGACAACTAGCCCGGGAACCAGAGAGCTGGTATGATGGATTCGTTACCACTTGTGGAAGTTAAAAACTTTGATGTTCGGCCAATATTCGGCAGATTTCGTAGCCAGTATACGGATACCGAAGTAGTATTATTCGTTTTATGTGGGTTATGTCCTGCATGTGTTATTGTCGGTTGGTATAAGTGCAAGTAAAATTCATTTATATCAATTTGAAAGAATTGAATGAGGCCACTCAATGGCTTTTTGATAATCCCCGTGACATCCCCGTACGTCCAGTACCTTATTAAACGTACAACTGCGAAATCGTTCTGTGGAAATGTTTTTAAATATCACCGACCGACAAGAGTTGGTGGAAAAACTCCCGCAATCGGTGCACTTTGAGCTAAGTTACGATATTTCTCACTAATTTGCAATCCTTAGCTGGCTTCTTCAAGGGGGCACGCATATATTCGTATGATAAATGAGTGCAAATTACACCGCTATTCAACCATAAGCCATTATGGATACAAAAAGATGTAAGCAAAATATTTTTTCCATAAGTCTGTTCTACCCGTATAAAGACCAAATCCAGATGAAAATCGCTTTTTTCCTTCCCATGGGCGCAGAATTTTTGATTGGTATTTCAAAACAGATACCATTGAAACTTGTTTGAAAGTTTGTATATTAGTTACTTACCTCCGGTAGTGTACAAATGAAATCGTGCGCGTTCGCTAGCTTGGCCGCCTCGATTATTTCTTCAGCTGTTGCGTCCAACTTGCCCATACGTATATTGTCAAAAATGGTTCCATCAAACAGCACCGGTTCTTGCTGAACGCAGCCGATCATTGAGCGAAAATGTTTCAAGTCCAACAGTGACAACTCCACATCCTCTATCAGCACCTGGAATGATGCATTTTAGATAGCAATAAAGTTTAAAAGACAATTACTGTTGAAAATTGCATCTGCTCTAAGTTTCTTCACTGAAGACGAAGTAGTAGTTTGATGTAGGGGAATCTACTGACAGTGCGAAAACATGGGCAGCTTAGGTTCAAACATGACCAATTGTACCCTGGAAACTGTCACGAGAAACAACTATTTTTTAAGTGGAGTTCCATTGTTGTCTACTTAGGTGCGAATAATCTACAGATGTTCACCTAACATCTTGTAGGCAAAATGTAGTTCTAAGATTGATTAAAACTTTGATTCAGCGACAACTACCTACCTTGCCTGCTGCTGGATCATAGAAGCGCTGGATCAGCTGCACAACTGTACTTTTACCCGACCCACTTGGTCCGACCAACGCAATCGTCTGACCGCTTTTCAAATGCAAACTGAAATTCCTTAAAACCTGGATAAAATTGACGGACGATGAATGGAAAAATGATCATAGATATCTTAAAGGCACTCTGGTATAGACGGAAGTATAAATGTTGGCGGGACGAGAGACCTTGTTAGAAAAAAACAGTTGAAAAAACGAGAAAGGATAACTTGTGATGCACTACTTATAAGGTGGCTGAAAATCCGTCGACCGCCCACGACCAAATTTGTCCTTTTCCCGGCTCATCAGTTAGGCGCAGTCCTTGGGTTTCCGTCAACCTTATGTTCTACTTGTAACCAAATTGTACGAAATTAGCGAATATACACTCATTTGAAAACTAATTTGTTTTTTTTCGAGAGACTCACCTGGAACCCAGCTGAATCTCTCGTCTCTGATGTCTCCAGCAGGCAACTGAATGGGGATTAGAACATACGGTTGACGGAAACCCGAGGACTGTGCCTACCTGCGAAACCGGTCGTGGGCTGTCGACGGATTTTCAGCGACCTTATGAGTAGTACTTAACAAACATACACATGTATCGAAATATCTCGAATATCGTAGCGAATATCGTAGGCGGCCTGGTGCAGCACATTCAGTTGACTGGAAACATCACCAACGAGTAGTTCAGCTGGGTTCCAGGTGAGTCTCTCGAAAAACCAACCAAAAGTTTTCAAATGAGTGTATATTCGCTAATTTCGTACAATTTGTAAATGAGTGTATATTCGTGAAAAAGAATAATATTCACTAGTCGTCACCATCTGACTATAGATTCATTGCCCCGTGATGTGCAAAGTTGGCAGAACAGTTGCAATCTGAAAAAACCTGAGAACGAGAACTCTAAAATTTAAAATATCAGTGTGGAATCAAATGTGTGAGTTTTTAACATCTGAAATGTAATAATACTTTCTAGCTAGGAATCACGCAAAGCATCGTTTATAGACAAAAATTCTAGATTTCTGATGTTTTACTCCAGCTAGGGGATGGATAGCCTTAAACGGGTCCCTCAGTTTAATGTCTAGTACACACAACGCAACCCAGCGAGGCAAAGGCATTTATTAGCGAGCAAGCGTAAAATTGGAAAAAATGTTAACAAAACAGACGTCGGCTTCTGGTACGTCAGCGAATCATGATTGGAAGAAATTAACACAACCTATCAGTCCGGGAACACAATCGCCTGCACTCAATATCTGAGCCGCAACAATGCTTGTGGAACGGGAACTCAGAACAAGAACAAATATGCATTGGTCAAAAATACCTCCCTCATCTCAGTATACTGTCTAGGCAAAGCACACTAATCATTAAGTTACTGGAAACTCCTCGACAGCCCGTGACCGGTTTCGCTCTTCGCCTAACTCTCCAGATGGGCGCGGTTCCCAAGTTCCCACCATCCTTATGATCTGCTTGGTTCCAAATTTCAGATGATTCGCGAAGTGCCCTACGACTTAGTTTTGATGTAAGATTCAACTGAAATCCAGCTGAATATGTCGTTTACGATAATTTCAGAGACTCTACTTACCTGAAAAGATCGGAGAAAGCTGAAGCCGGTCATGGATTCTCAGAGAGTTTTCAGCAGCCTTATGAGTATCGTGTTTTGTTCAGACAATATACTGCAGTATCTTAGTATTGTGACAACCCAAAATATAAGGGTGCTTTTGTACAGCACATTCAGCTGAAGAATTGTTGAAACGAGAAAGTCAGCTGGGATTCAGTGAAGTCCCACAGTTTAATTCAACTTAATTCTCACATTAATGTATTCGGCGAATCATCTCCCTCTTTTTGAATGTTATCTTCACACATGTGTGAAGAATAGCGACAATGTACCACATGATAGATCATCTCGGAAATGAGGTCAAAGGTGTTTTTTGAGGTTATATTGTGGGGGTTGCTGGTCCCTAGTAAACATGCTGGTTATCATACAGCGGACGTATTCAATAGATCTGTTCGACAAATCGTATATGAATATACATTATTGTGTCGTATGAGAGTATATAAGGTGTAGTCATTAACATTTTCACTAAAATGCACTATATAGCTGCGATTTTTGGGAACGGCAGTGGAATGTGTGTAGCAAGTGGAGTAAGCTCAGAAACATTATTCCATGGGGCTGTAGCATTGGAAAAGCCAGCGGACTCGACCATGTATTTTAACTTTCCTTGTATAAAGTAATGTGAGGGCACATTAGGTGGAACGTCGATTGCTTTACTGGGAAGGGATATATCTCTTGGCTGTCCTTTCTCTGGCAACCGCCGTTATTTAGAAAAACCGTTTGCCACAATTCAACGCATTAAATGCGTTCATTCAGTGAGATTGAAGGGAACAACAAATCAGTGCTTCTCAACTGGATGATTACGGTCTGGAGTGACGCTGTGTCTTCTGACAGCAAGCAAATACAACAGAACGATGGGTATCTAAAACGCTTCATTGAATATAAGCTTCTGGCCCATAATCCAGGTATAGGAGGCAGACCATTGTTAAACTCAGATGGCACGTCAAAGATGCCACACCTATAGGACACATCTGAGGATATTCAGAGCATACTTCTCTCCTCAAACGGTTAGGGCGCAAATTTACTGACCCGAAGGTCCGTGGTTTGAACCCGAGCTCGGCATCTTGACCCCTTCTGACTAGGCTTGGGCAACCTGGCAGTATCCCATCTCTCATGGTTCCTTCTGGTAGCATGTTAGCTAGGCACAGAATGGGTGTCACAGCTGAATGATGATCTTTACAATCTTACCTTCAAGATTTTCACCAATCAAAGGCGGATAAGACGGGAACAGTTCACTAGTACTAAACCACCGCTTAATCCCGATGACCATACAACCTGTGTTCACGAAAACGGTGGTATTGAATGCAAGTGTTTTAGGAGATAACTCGGTAGGGGTTAGAATGAATTGATAGGAATTACACTCCCAAGCCTCTAAGCAAATCAGAGCGTGATTCAGCTGCCACACTTAACGCAACAACTGGGGAGCATCGTATGAATTCTGATAGTGGGCATATCCTGCATCAAAAGCTCGACATATATGCATAGAAACGAAGTGCCGCTTCAGTGCCGACAGAGGTTCACCATAAATAAGAGAGGGTCTAATTTACATGGTAGACATCACAAATGCCATCAAAACAAAGCAGGTTCGTCGTTTACCACAACTGACACAATGCAGGACTACTGGCTGCAACATCTCCAAGTCAATACTCATTTAGCCAATGTGGACAAGCTATTTTGACAAACACATTGATTTGTATACCAATTTGGTTTTCACGAGAGAATAAACTGAAGCTCTCTTTTATGATATTCTTCAACTGAATGTGCTGCGAAAAAGGCTGCATCAAGTTTCAGTTGGTACGATATTCGATATATCACAGTATAGTTTTTCATAAATAGAACTACACAAGAGCTTTCAGCAACCTTGTGAACAGTTTCCTTTTAAGAACAGGCCATTCCACACCTGAATATGCCCTAAAAGTGTAAGGTCCTGTATGCAACGAAACTACTTTCTAGAAAACAGTAGGGAAGTTGTATCATTTTGAATTCACTTAGACTGGTGTTTTGCAGTAAGGAACATGAGAGACCAATTGATTTCGTGCAAGCCTGCAGCCGGAATTAAATAAATTCTAAGTCTTCCTTTAGCTTATAAATGCAAGATGGGTACACCTAGCCCGCCGGTTTGCTCTCCGCACAGCAATCCAGTTGTGGTCCTTAGTAAAAATAAATGGTTTCCTGAACATACAGAATTGTTTAGCGATAACTGACATGTGTATTTTCAGCGTATCGTTCTGGACACATGCTGTAGAATTCCCTGGTAATCAATTTTGAATAGCGCGCTGAAAATGTGCCAAGAAAACGGTGTTTGATGCAGATATCTTCCGTAGACATTGTAAACGAACTGATGAATGATTCAAGTCTGGTCAAACCAAGTCATGAGAAGGTTCCTCACACGGAGATGAAAGGCACATGACCGAGCCGTGGAATAAGAGAGGGGTACAAGCGTTGTTCGTCTGTCCACCTGGAAGCACCACCCTCGGTCTGTCCACTGAAAAATACTGTTCTTCAGGCATATGAACTGGTAAGGCAGTGAGCAGCTGATGGTGGTGTGTTTGAAGTTAGACAGGGTGTCAGAATTTCACATGAAACTAGAAGAGAATTTTGAGCATTCTGGAGGATACTCAAGAGGAAGTTATATAGAACATCAACCATGTTTTCGGACTGTGATTTACGGCTCCACCGCTTGACATCTGAAAATGCGCTTCAAGAAACATACAGTTTGGATTTAATCTCATCTAGATAGTATGGTTGGAAAACACGGAGATCAGTTTAGGCTGGAAATCACGGCGATTTGAGAAAAATCGACAACTGGAGTTTAAACCGAGGAAACAGTATTGTAAGGAATGTATAGGTTCACGAAGATGAGGGATAGGTAACCTACTCAAAGAGAGAAGTTCTTTTCATCAAAACTAAACTGGTAATTTTATGAAAAAAATTACACAGAACATGCGAAAAACCAGTGTTTATATCATATCTGACCAGCGAAGCTTCCACACTTGGTAAGGGATATTTTGAGGCAGTCACTCCAAAACAGAGTATATATTTTTGGTTGAATTATCTTGTTGTCGGTTAGTTCTACCAGAATAATGTCGAAACGGCGAACACAAGTGGAGGTAAAAGATGCTCTGGGACTACCCGTATTAACTGTAAGTGTGTATTAATAAGAAAGCAACCTCCGGGGCAAATTGAAGAGGTATATCACTTGATAGGTCCCCAGTGGACGTGGTAAAAATAGTAATCTCAATTCAAAACAGAATGAACAGTTTTTATTCCACCGAAAATTGGACATAACTTACAGTTACTTCTGGTCTTGTTGGGTAGGCAAAATCTACATTCTGAAAAGTGATATTTCCGGTGAAGTTTGGCAGTCGTAATCCTCCTCGGTCCTTATCGATTTTCGGGATCTGTTTGTCGAAATACCGAACATTAGTCATTAAGCATCACACAGTGGTGAATAATGAGGCAGGGACATTACTCACACTTCTAACACATCTCGGATAAATCACGTGATTAACAAATTACCCAACTCGACTGTGCTGTGTATATCACAACACAGTTGACCAGTCTTTGTCTTGCTAAGTCTAGTAGCCCCAAGAGTAACCGCAGTAAAGCATGTTCTAATTCCGTTCACTTAACTTGCCAGTAAGCTGTAACGCTTATATGGTGTTAGGTTTTTAAGATTTGCCTCCTGGCAAAGTTGACAGTACAACTGCAGATTTGATTTGTTCTTAGCTTTGTGCCTAAAACCCATGTGCGCACGAAGTGAATGCTAGTGGTTCGAGGCCTTAGCTTTACATTCGTAAATGCAGGTGTGTTCTACAAATCTAGAACGTTCTGGGTGGATAAGGCCAAGAATTTAAGTTGGTCACTATTCTCTTGGCTGTGAAATTTCTCCTCTGCATCCAGTCGCAGCCAGATTCTTCTACGGTGTAACGCAAATGCAGAAGGAGAAATGGGTGGAACTTTCGAGACCTTACCTACCTAATACGCTCTTAGGAGACAAAGGTGCTGGTGAGTGGCAAAGAAAAAGAATCATTGTCTTTGAATTATGCGTAAAGAGCGGGCTGTTGTCTTTCATTGCCACTGATGTGATGTTTACTTAGGAACAATATTAATTACAACATAAAGTTCTCTTGAAACAATAGTTCTACCTGTGTAACCCGGTCACATAGATTCTGTTCGATGAGGAGGCTTCTATCGGAACGAGTCCAAATATTTATGTGGCAAGAAGTTTGAAGTAAAACATTTTCCTTTCAGGAAGTTCATAACATCCGTTCATATTTTATTTTAATCTTTCCACTCGATCGGCCCAATGGCTGTGGAAGACGGCTGAAGCCTAGATAAGCAATTGCTCCGCCGAATCCTGTTAAACGAAACTGGTACTGTGCGACTTGTATCCTTGTCAGAAGGTCAGTCAGATGTTAGTACATCTCTATCACTTCACCTTTTACTTAGCTGACTGTTTTCGATCATGAAGGACGATTATTCTGAAGTAAAACTCTGCTCATTGTTTGATTTGTTTCCACCCACCATGGTCATTTTAAGGAGAACACAGACAAGTGAGCTTTTGCGCGACACATTACCGCCGCTTTCAGAATGTCAACTAACCGTACGACACTGACTCGGAGAGTGTCTTGGAACGGTTAACTATCCATGAGCAAGGAGATTTTGTCGGTTTTTTTTTTACTTCACACATTCAGTGGGATACTAGTAGAATTCCAAGCCGTCACTGAGTCCGGTAGGCGTATACGTATAGAGCCGCTCTTGATATCGTATTGATTTTCAAAACAGTTGCTTGTAACGGTTTACGGAATTTCGAGCGCCGTGATCTGCCAATAATACGGTGGACGACAAAAATAGACTGTCACTGAATATGCCTAAAGCTCCCCTTGTATTTGGCTTATTCCTCCTTTCTATGCATTTAAATACCTGAATCTGACTACGTTTTTTCAGCACAGTCACCGTAAAATAAGCACACTAGATGGTTATTATGTACAGTGTGATAATCTGCGGTGTGATGTACATACATATCCTTTAATTTATGATGATTTGGATTGTCTGGCGAAAGGACGGCCCGAAAGACGCCATGAAATATTCTATTATTGGGGCTTAACAAAGAACGAGGCGACAACGCGTTCAGTAGTCACAGAAGAGATGGATCCTGGTGGATTTGAGCGATCACAACAGATTTAAAAAGCTCAGGTTCCAAGACTTTTAGGTGTACCACAAAGATGCCGGAAGCAAGAGATGACTTGAGACAACCCATGCGATATCGATAGGACTCTCAGCTTCCTTTTAGCCTTGAGGATGCACCGGTAACGATGATGAAAATTTCGATAATGTTGATGAGCAGGACGCCTACGATGGCAACGATGACTGTAAGTCCTCAACAACAGCTATGCTGTTCACAACGAACACAGTGTTCGCAGCGAACACTAACAGGAGTTTTTGTGTCTCTTACTCGTCATCACATCGTCCGTCACTTAAAACATACTTCCTTGCTTTTGAAGGATAAAACAGAGGTAGCTACCCTCCTTTATCACTATCATTTTGAAGGCACTCTAAAAAGACGTTTATTGCCATCCACTTACCTGTATCGATCTTTGGTGATCGATGCACCTAAAGATTTTTGAGTTTGCCGCATACTTTAAAAGGATGCTCAACTTATACTGTAAAGGTAGATGTCGTGTTTCCGGAGCTTCAGATTAGGATGTAAATAGTTTACTGCTTTTTTAGAATCTACGAAACCCATTGAGCTGTCCAGTCCCATTTCTAATCAGCTGCTAATTCCGGTTTTGTCAACTTCCTGTTCAGGATATATATTCATTAAACTCTCTCGCAAAACTGCACCCCAAATCGATTAGTTAGCTTCTAGAACCGCTAGACAAGCGGGAAAAGATTTTAAAGTGTTATAATTTCAATGTTGCTGACGTGAGCGCTTTTAAAATGACCTCAAATAGACATCCATCGCGAATGTTTTGTTCTTAAGTCGTTCTTGGTTTATTCTTTTAAAAATGAGGGGGGAAAATGGTGGTCCCTGGTCTGTTCTATCTATTCGAATCATTATTTCTGTAGGTTCAAGCCCTTCACTGGCCGCACGTACTACTCATTCAAAGTTTTGAATTAGGTCAACTTCCACGGTGTTCAGCAGTTCATCTGATGAACAGGCGTAACTTCTCTGAATTGTGTCTAATGATCTATCCAAATACACAACTTGGTACACCGCGATAAGCTCACTACTCAGTAAAACACTACGGGTTGAACTCAGAGATTGAGGGTCATCTACCAGGGTTGCTTCACGTGTAAATACATTCACAAGTCACAGAAAACCCCCCAAACTCACTCTTTCGATTGTTCCATACACATCCTGAGCGGCAGCTAGAGCGTGTATAATATTTGGGAAGGTCATAAAGGCCGAACCCATAAATATACTGCCAAGTATGATGCAGCTGAACACCTGAAATCAAAAAAGTGGAAACAAAAATTACTCCAACACTAGGTTGTGGATCACTTTGATGCGATTCCAACTGACTCAAGTAAGCAAACTTGTATCACGTCAAGTCGGATGCGTTTCGATCATTCCACCAACAGATCAAGGTTAGATTAAGTTTGTATACCAATAATATGTCCACACACACAATTTTCGCTCACAATTGCGAAGGTTACACTTTTTAAGATGACTACTCGAAGATGGATGGCAGACTGTGGGCTCGATAAAGCGATGACAAAAATAAAAGACATTTTTTTGGTTTGTTAACACTATTGTGAAGATTATTCAGCCATCAGTCTTTTGCGTCTTCACTTGTATCGTGTCCGAATTACGAGATACCTTTTGCATAGGGCACCCAGCTGAAGAGCACCGCTAACTCTGAAACTAACCCAACTCTAAGGTGCAAGATATTCTCAACCTATCCATCCAAGTTTTATTGATCTTTGGATAGATTTAACTTACCTTAACAGTGAAGTAATTTGGCACTCAAACCAATTTCTGCATCGTGCTGCTACCTCACTTAATGACGGTCTTTCTCTTGGAAATCGAACATAAAGGCGTAATCTCTGTGTGATCACATTCCTGGTTCGTTTTGCACAGTCTAATCAGATGCGTACTACGGATTACGGTAATAAATAACTAAAACTCTGGCATGTCGGCGATTAGCCCTACAACTTACGACAGCAGTCTCGATGAAATGAAAGCTGTTCCTGACTGCACACGTTCAGCCTCCGTTTTGGAACTCTGCCGATTGCAGCACTGAAGAGAACATCAAACAAAGTAGTCGAATCGATGTGATGTCTGCTCTTGATCAGATGACGGGAAACTGATGGAACCAGCAGTGTAGAATGTGATCCTGTTTATTTTCGAGGCTATCTGTGTGTATCTGATTGGTTCAACTGTCTCAATGAGCTGGCAGTTCACAAACGTATTTGATCATCCTGTTTCAGCTAAACCATCGAATCCTCCGACTCAATTCCCTGTTTTTTCCATACTCACTGGATTTCAGCGTTCAACACTGCACAACACTAACCAGGCGCAATAAGGTTGATCGGTGACAGTGCGTGTCGGTCACCGTTAGTAGTGAACTGGGCGCCACGATCAATGTGCATACGACGTAACAAGTTCCTGACTATTATCACGGATTTTTGGTTCGTAATGTAAAGACAAGTCGGATGGAGGATTCAAGAGGATCGCAAAGATATACGCTGATGTCAACAGTAGGGTTTAGGTGCACGATGGGTCTTATTTATTTGAACCCTTTTTTCCTCTTATCATTTATGAGCAGCACCTGAAAGGATGATTTGGTTCACTTTGACGCTTATTCGGAGTGATGTATTCAATGCTTTTTTTGCTGATTTCACGTTTATGTATGGGAGAGATAAATTTTTGGTTATGTTGTGCTGAAAAAAACGGCGGGATTTATGAGCAGCACCTGAAAGGATGATTTGGTTCACTTTGACGCTTATTCGGAGTGATGTATTCAATGCTTTTTTTTGCTGATTTCACGTTTATGTATGGGAGAGATAAATTTTCGGTTATGTTATGCCAAAAAAACGGCGGGGGAGGATCGGAGACTTATCAGTTGTAACAGGCGAAGAAGATTCGTAGCTGTCTGCCACCTGCATGGAGTGGGTTAGTACAGTGAAAAACACTATATGCAGCAACATCCAAATTAGCTATAAATTACCCAAGGAAGAACAGTTTATAGAGTGGAACATTGTACAAAGTGGTTATCTGCATGATTTCAGACGAGTCAATAGCGGGGCCAAACGCAAGTGTGGTTTTTGAGAAGAAAGTTACTTTCGAGAATATCTATCAAAGATGACGACATATCTGTCCATGTTAAGCAGATGTTAGCAGCTGCACCTAGTCGAACCTAGCCTGTGCTTTGATCTAGACACACACTGTGCGCGACCTCTCGCACTAAGGTATTCGATACGCATGTTTACTGCCATCCATGATGTTGCTATTCGGTGAAATCGGTGGGACCGACAGGTGTCTTCAGCTGCGGATGACCAAGCACCTGTCAAAGTTTGCATTAAAGCATTTATCGAAAGAACAAGCCGAGGTTCAAGTAGAACATAAAGTTGATGGGAACTCGGGAACTGCGCCTAGCGAAACTGGTCGTGGACTGTTGAGAAATTCTCAGAAACCCTGTGAGTAGTTTCCTTTATGAAAAAGCCAACTACTTGCTTCCCACTGACTGTCCCAGAATCTCTCTTATCAAATGTCGATGCGTTATCACATACGTAAGATACAACTGTTGTTCCGTGTAAATTAAGTAAATACACCACCAGTTTGGTTTTGGTGAAGAGAACTTCCCTTCTCGAATGATTATCACTTCATGACAAATCAACTCGTTGAGCTAAGTTGAGTCTTCCGAATCTTGCCGCATAATGGAAACCACCGACTGGCGACATTCAGTGACGCTTTGTTAGTTAGGATCAAGCAACCAGTGCTGCATACACCAGCGGTTAACGCAAACAACCGGCTTATGATTTCGGACCAATTGGCTTTTTTGTTTAAACTGAGAAATTAATGGAGTTCCTAAAACAGTACGTAGCTTAAAATTGATATTCCCACTGAAACTTGCCAGATACCAATGTCTCCCTTGTAACAACATTTTTATAATGAAAAGACCCAAGTGTTTGGTAGGCGCAACACACAAACAGGAATGTATGAGACAGACGACATCTGAAAACAAAGCAATTTTCACAGACTTTATCAAGGTCGCTCTGCAGTAGCTGCCTACATCCTAAGTGAAAAGTCAACTGATCAAAGTGCACCCACAATGAGTGAGGCATACGATGAACATAGGTGTTTTTCGAGCAAGATCAAAGTTCTTATTAGCTAGTGTGGAGATGAACAATAGCACGTCAACTATGCAAACAAAACGACTAGGTTGACCTTTTTGATATCCTGCCGATAAACCAAAATAAGGTTCGCGTTGCTCACTCTTTAGAACTGCGTTAGAATGAACATAGATGAACGTTATGTCGATATCAGAGGAATGAATCTAGCATTCACTGCAAATCTGTACAAAACCATTTCAGAGAAGAAGATCGATAAACGTTAGCCTGGTAGGCAGAACACTATTTGACTGAAGACTCGTCATCGGGGTCAACATTATCCCATCCCCTGAAGGTTGTCTAATCATGTAAAAAGCGAATCACTCGGAGACTCATAGCCATGAAGGAGTGAAGTCTGTTGACATGCGCCAGTCTCAATTTGCCCTGGCAAGTTATGGCCAGTTTGTCAAGAATCTTTCGTGTGTGTGGGCTTTGAATACAGGGCATATCTTCCTTTTGGTAGGCTGTTGGTTATGCATACTGATGCATAGTGGCATGATCTCAACTTGAGAAGCGCCCTCAGCTGTTCCTGATTTTTATTGAAATACTGTTTTTTTCCAGCGCACTAAGCTGACTTGTCGTGTGCTTTAAATGCACCGATGATCCATTGTTTGAAGATAAAATAAGGGTAAGAAATTCCTCAAACGAGGTGGATCTCAGAGGGGTCACATGGCACAAATCAGGCGGAACAGCAATCCTGAAGAAATCTTTAATGCTTTTGTGCTCTTGGAACTATTTTAACTTGATTGAGTCACCGATCCAGCTACTTAAGAGTGATCATCTGTTCATTCCGTAAGACACTGTGGATTTCGGTCGATAATCAATGCGGATTTCTAATTGGATATCGTTTCCGTTAAACGATACTGGACATAGTTTGAGATTGGTAATGTGTTAAAATATTGGTAGCTAGGGTGATTTTATTGGCTGTTGATCTGTTCGCCGAGCTTGGCAATTGGTTTGCAAACGTTTCGCCGCCATACGAGACATCATCAGTGCGCAGTTGGGTGGATACTTTGCTACACTCCAAGTACCGACTCACGACAGAAGATAACAGAAAGTCTTCGAATGTTATATGAACGCACGCAGGCAACAAAGAAGTACCGACTCAACGGCGTACTGATGACGTCTCCTCGTATGGTGACGAAACGTTCACAAGCCAATTGACAAGCTCGGTGAAGAGATCAACAGCCACCTGATCAACAAACAATTATCTGAGATTCCTTTGTGAGTACCTTAAAAACGAAATCAAGATAAGCTTGAAGCCATGGGGGGTTTAGTTTGCTCTGAAGTGGAAACCTGTGGTAAAATCCGACATAAATTCTGCGTGATGTGCGTTGCCATACGGCAAACTCACTCAAAGAATATTGAACAGCTTATTTAATTCATTTCGGATCTCACGGGCATCTCCGAAATAGATATTTCCGTGAGGAATTTGGAAGACCTTTGTTCCGTTCTTCAGAAGGATTAATGTGCATTGCTTCTAAGATCACGGGAAAGCACATACAACAGACAACTGCACCACGGCATTACACATTGGATGCTTTATCTGATACATACATAAATGAACGAGCAGCACTTACTACAGGCCACCACATAAGTAGAGGATATAACACTTGTATTTACCGACACGCGTATCATACTCGGTGACTAATACCCAGCATCCAGTTTGAGGATGTCTAGCGAAATATCATTATTTCTGTAAAACACTTGTGAACTTTACTGTGCCGCAGATTTCATGATCTTATTTTTAGATGTCGAATTAAAGGTATATTAGAATCTTTCTATAGCACTGGCCGTAGTGACGCGCGCCTGTAATCTAGCTACCTGGAGGATTGGTGGCGGAATTTCTCTGGGTCGGCAGTTCTGGCGTCGGTTCGTGCATGCTGATCGGGCGTTCACGCTAAGCACGGCGCCGATATAGATGGGCACGCATTCTTGATCGGAAGAACGGAACTGTCAAGTATATTACACCAGAAGGGTCCCATCTTCGAAAACACGATCATGCATGTTCAACCGAAACATTCTGGTTTCGACAACTTGGATCGGTAGGACAATTTGCCTACGAATTTCGTCTTTGAAGCCACTGCAGACGCTCCAATACCTACAGATAGTTTTCCCGCTTTTACTGAAGTCCTCTCATCTAACCAATCCATCGTCCTTCCACCATTACTGCGCAAACGACATAAACGCCCACATGTTCTCCGGGTTGAGAATGTTAGGGTTGGTAATCCGCAAAAACTTTGAAGTAGGGTAGCATGAAGTGCGCAGATATAATGCCTAAAAGCCGTTGATTTAACCAAGCCTTTTGAATAAAGTTATTGACCGCTATTTTGTTACTCCACTATTATAAGAACTATTTCGAGGAGTTCCAATTACATCCCGAAACGTTTTCCGAACGGTTTCGCTCCGGGTGTTAAAAGCTACTATCAACTAATGCATTATGTGGAAGGGGCAAGTGTGACAGAAAAAAAGTAAACTGCATTCATAAAGGAAACTACTGACAAGGTTGCTGAAAACTCTTCGACAGCCCACGACCGGTTTCGCCATTCCAGTTCGGGCTCATCAGGTAGGCGCAGTCTCCGAGTTTCCGCCAACCATATGATCTACTTGAACCCAAATTGAACTGTTTTCAAGAAATACACTCGTTTGCAAATCAACTTGACTTTCACAAGAGACTCAAATGAATCTCTCGTTTGTGATGAGGCGGCCTGTGTGCGGCACATTCAGTTGTAGGGTGGCATAAACGAGAAATTCAGTTGAGTCTCTCATGAAAACCAAATTGATTTGCAAATGAGTATATTTCTCGTAAACTGCATTCACTTTTAAAACATCACACAATGATGATGGTAAAAACTGTTGATTGGGCTGTCGGACATCAGCACACTTCACGAAAGGTGAGACTTACAAAAAGAGAAGGCAATTATGAAATGTTGATATCTAATGATTTAGCTTTCTGTACTTCCATGAAGGAATGTTGGCCCGTTGTTCAATCAGTCTTTTTGGTGTGCTTTATCACTGAAACATCTAAGTTCACTTTAGTGCGTTTGTTCGAACAGTGGTTCCAGATCATGCGACGACAATTAGGTATTCGCTCTTTAAACCCTCAGACAATTGTATTCGAAAGATATTGGCTTTCACTAAGGCAAAAGAGGCTTGCTTCTCAAGTCTCTTTTGTGTAATGGCTTGACGATACGTCTGACGATACGTTCTATCATCATCATTCTTTGTAATATCCCCTGCGCTTCCGTTTGATTTTCTACTTTACAAGCTTTACCTCCGCTAAAATATGCAGCTCCCGAGATGACTCGCATGCACCCTAAAACACCAGGGTAGTCTGGTATCAGAGTGATTTCTTCATAGGTTGAAGGGCGCGGAACTAGATGTTTGATTTACCATGGTACTCGTAGCAAGGCTAGTGGCTGTTGCAAGCACCAGTTAAACTCTGTTTCCTTTGATAAGTACTCAGAACCTGCTAACTCGGTTGAATTCAGTTTTCGAAGTTTTCTAAACAGAAACTTAGGTCGTGATCCGCATATTTGTTATGATTACATTCGGTCTGTGAAAATCCACACCCACTCTCTTCCACTATCACAGTGTTTCACCAAACAAAGGATTGCGATCTCAAACAGACACATAGAAAACTCTGTTCAGTTTTTGTGAAGAAAATACAAGAACCACAGACCACCTCAACTGTGACGGACAATTGTTCCATATATATGAAGAGAACCAGAAGGCGTTTCCTCCGTGTTGAAGGCAAATTGTATTGTAAATAATTCTGTTCTATCAAGATTATTTCCTGCCTCCAAGTTTTTCGTGCTTGTGACTTCCTTATAAGGAAGGAACACAGTGATGCCGAGGAACCAAATAGTGTTACTTTGCTCTGTGGACTAGCGAAGTATGTTAGCTAACAAGGAGTCTGGATAAAAACGATGCATCGTCAGCTGAATATTGCTTGGACAGTTGAAAATCCTTGGTTTTTCTTCAAACGGTGTACAAAAACCATAACTAAATAGGTTGTTTATGGATAGTTGCGTGAGTTGTGGACATTCCACTCACGCCACTTTCGTTCGAACGGCCTTCCAACACCCGGGTCGAACCACTTTGAATCCGAGCTTTTTTTCTGGTTTCAACACATGCGTATATCTAACTATGCCGGAATTAGAATCCCGGAAAATGGGAAGAGCCTTTTTACACTCTTCTGAAAGAGGCATACGTTTCACATGTATGTAGGTTGGGACGTTGAGATGACCAATTATTATCAGCACGATCCACTCCTACTTGAAAGAATACCTGCGTCGTTAGGCGGGTAGTTTATGCTGAACTAATATGAATAAGCATCTGAGGGACGGTCGTTGGTTTGTTCATCAAGCTCAGCAATTTGGCCGCGAAAGTTTCATCACCAATTGAGGTAACATCATCAGCGAATTGTTAGGGCGTGTGATAGAGCCTGGCGATGGGTCGGTGGTTGTGCGTTGAGTAGTGTTGCGTGTGTCAATTGTTGTCTGGGGCTGACATTCGGTCCCGATTGGTTATCAAGCTAGGTGGTTTTATTGGTTATTTTGTTATCCTGCGTCCTGATTGGGCGATGATCACGTGGCATTTGAGCTTGGCCTTCCCTTCTCTTGTACTCTGATCGGTGTTGGAGTGATCCTTGCTGACTTGACTTTTAAGAGGCCATTGTTTCTTGGTTTGTCAATCCAATAGTCAGCTTTCCGAGCGTTCCGGTTGATTTTGGTCCTTTATACCTATCGGTGCATAAACTGGATCCATTTCAAAGCGTCACTTTTGTCTTGGTTGTCCTTGAGTCGTAATATCAATTTCTTCAAAGTGATGTGATGTAGAACTATTCGCGGTCGCCTTTTGTTGCTGTTGCTGTTGTTGAGATGTCTTTTCCATCAATCTTCTATTGATAAAATCCCTTGGATAAGCAATGTTCTGGGATCGATTTTTTCGTTCTTCCTTAGGTCTGTGGTGCTGCAATGATTCTCCATCCACGTGAATAGAGTTTGAATGCAGCTTTTCGTGTGGTTAATTGGATGGTTGCCATTTTAGTTGAGTACTTGACTCGTGTGTGTCTATTTACATGCATTTCTTTTGGCATCAAGTAGTGTTCTAATCAAGCTAGGCAATCTTTGTAGGACGCGTTTTCGACGTTGAACGCTAGTCCTTCGATTGGTAGTCTTCGTTCAGCTGTGCTGATTTAGCTCCCGATAAACTTGTGATCCCAATTCGCGATCGATGGGTTCGTTGTTACACGTGAGACTACGCAGTTTTGTTTCCATGACCTTTCTACATTAGATTTCGGCATTGTTTACCGGGCACCCAATTGTTGCTTCGAGTCCTGTTCGATGAGGGAGGTTTTTGGTCTCTTGTTGGTCAATGGTGATGAATCAAATTGCCCAGCTTAGCGAACAAACCAATGACCGTTTACATCACCTGAGCTACAAGCCGCCTTCTAAACATCAAACCTCATGAAATCCGACGTCATACAACAGAATTTGCATTTGTTGTGAAGAATACAATCCGTAAATGGTTAGAATTCATGGCAGGTCAGTTCATTCGAGCATATTGGATTAGACAATGTTGATACAATCGACAGCATTCTTCGGCTGCTCCAAGCTCATCAATCAGACATAGCCCAATTTGTCTCATCACATTCGTCGTGAGTAGGGCAACTACATCATCCCAAAAGGCACGGACAATGATGTCGTAATCACCATATTTCATAACTGAATCCAATGACTTTGTTGCAATCGAACCAAGTCTATTTAAAAAGGCATTTACAAAAACAGTTTAAGAAGGACAACGCCAGTTGTCGGCAAGGTTGTCGCTTCAGGCAGTCGAAAAGGAAATTGGCTTAAACATTACTCCCTTGAGACAGTTCATTTTTAGTAGAAACCGCAAACGTTCCTGTAGAAAGAAATTTGTTCTGGTTCCCCTCAGGTGAATTGCCGACCACGGGAGGGATTTGATAAATAAAACACTGGGAATGAAATGATAACGTTTAGCGATCAATTACCAGAATGCTGTTTACTATCAAAAGTGGTTTAGGAAGCAAAGTAAACGCATTTTATTAGATTTCGGGTTTCCTACCTCTGAGTAAACATAAGTCTTGATTTAAAAGTCTCTGTTTTCTACAATTACCACGACACAATTTTCGTCAAGGAGTGATATTCATTGGGCTAATCGTGAGTTGTTCTTTATTGTGGGTTATGAAGATGAGGCAGTATCTCCCAGACTTGTGATACCACACGATACAACACACACACACAAGATAGGATAGAGTTGATGATATTTGCTCAAACAATGGGAGAGATCTGGTGCCAAGGTAATTCAACTCTGATAAACCCAAGACTGCTAAATGATCTATTCAAGTGCAACATAATGGTTGGAAATTTGGCACTGTCTTGACCATCAGTCCAGAGTTATGCAAAACTTACCGTGACCACTGCACCTGGATCCAAGCCATCCAACATCAGAGTTACGCCATACCAAAATACTAAGGCGGCAGAAAGATATATTGAACTTGCGATAAGTCCACTGGCTACAAAGTAGAAGAAGAAAAAAGTTGACGCCAAAATCACACGAAGGAAATTGTTGGACCAGGCTGTTGAGAAGATAAATCGAACTGATAGATCGGATGCCATTTTGTCTTCTAATCAGTGACACCTGTTCACATGTAGAACGGTTGTCTTTCGTGCAATACAACAGACTCGCACAACAAGCAAATTGTGTTGTGAAGAAACTTACAAGACAATCCCCAGGATACCGAGAATTCATACATTTATGTGCATTTGTCTACTGCTGAAAATAGCACCCAAGACAAGCGACTAAATGTAGTTTGTATGAAGAGTTGTCATCTTTTTTAAACACCTTAAAATTCCACGTGGCCTCCACAACGCAAGTGTCTTCCTCCTAAGACTGGTAAGTTCGGGAAAGGATGATGTTACTTAGCTATCAGAAACGTAGCTAATTTCTTGGGGATAGCTCATGTATGCTCTTATGGAGTTGCCTCATTCTTTCTACTTCGGGGCAATATTTCTCAAAATGTAGTTGATATTCGCCATGGATTCACCGGTAAACAGTAGGCGATCGATCATAGTTGCTGAGTGACAATCAAAACGTTGGTAGCTCGGGTGAGTTTATTGGCTGTTGATCATGTGGCCCTTGATCTGTTCGCCGAGCTTAGCAACTGATTTGCGAACGTGGGTCACCCATCTGACTGCCCACTGATGATAACCCCTCGTAGGAGGATGAAACGTTTCAATGTCAATTGCCATGCCACGGGTAGCCCAACTGCGCACGGATGATATCTCCTCGTATGGTGACGAAACGTTTGCAAGCCAATTGCCAAGCTCGGCAAACAGATCAACAGCCACCTGATCAACAACCAAGAAGCCATTATTAGGAGTACTCCCCTATGCACAGAAATGCTAGTCGCCTAGAGAAAACATCGTCATGTCCTCGCGCTACTGTCACACCGAACAAAATGATTCTTCCTGGACCGCGCTTACTCCAGCTGATTGTAGTTTGGGGACTCGCCGCTCCTTGTCTAGCTGTTCTCATTCAGGCTTAATTCAGTGCCAAATTCCTGGCTAGCCTAATGCGCAGATTTATTGCAACGGCGTTGACCAGCCTCTAAGACAAGCTGTCAAGGCTTGGTCCGAAAGTATGTAAGTGTATAATATGGTGCATATTTGTTCAAAAAGAAATCACTTATATACGTATGGTCATTAATAGGAGACTTTATCGCCTTTCAATCTTGGTTTCCCCTAGAATACTTGACCGTCTGTTGGATCTCTGAGTTTTGTACAATCTGATCAGGAAATATTTCTCCTGTGAAGTACCTGAAGCAGGTTAGCACATTTACAAAGCTAACTTTATTTTCCCATGACGAGAAGAGTTTTTCTAGCTGTCTGTCCGCACACAACCATAGTATGCGTTTAGGTAAGTAACTGTCCGGACGCGCCCTCAAGTTAGACACAAAAGGAATAGAAAAAAACGACGAAAGAATAATCCATTTAATCGTACCCTCTCAAGGTTATCCCAAGCTAAGAAGTGAAGTAGTACGGATGACTGGCTTGTACATATACTTTGAGTTACTGGATTATTCCCAAATGACATGGAAAGCGATGATGAAATATTGAACGTACTAATCTACCGAGAGTAATTACCGTTTGAAACCAAGCTGACAGACTTGAGTCTTCTAGGCAAGAGAATCTCAGGGATTTTAACAAAGAGACACTCAGTAAATAAGCAGCATAATATTCAACGTGAGGGAAATATGGATTGTTACACTTTATATAGAAGGAAAATTTCGATAAGGAATGCTTCTGAATGTTTGCAAGGGTACCAGTCGGAAAGTGGTTCCAAGTGTGACGGAAATTTATGACGGAGAAAATATGAAACGATTGGACGATTACTGCGAAAAAAGAGTGGCCAAATTTGCCCTGTTTATTGAGCAGAGATTGGAATTCTTGTGAATTTTGTGAACGGTTTAAGCAGGATTTGTTTATGAACATATTTAAGTCGCAACAGCAAAGAAAGAATTTCAGGATTTTCTTCTCTCCTTATCTTCCGCAGATCAAATTAAAAATGACATGATATGTTAAGTTGATAATAAAAACTCAACGTTTTTAAATGGCACCTACGGACTGCCTTGTTGAAAACATTTTATACAGTGTTTTTTTCCTGGTTTGCTTCAGATTTCTCGTTTACCAAAAGCTCACTTCTGTTATACAGATGGAACTTTTGCGTAAATTTTGAGTTTAGTGGTTGGATCATTCGTTGAGGCTTCCAGTTGCCAAGTCCTTTCAAAATTTGAGATCATGGTATACTTTGTACTCAGATGCTGTAAAAGTTACTTTATGGTTGCATTTGGAAATTGATCGTGTAAATTCTGAAAGGCTTATCGATGAGTCTAATAGTCACTTTGTCGTAAGTTGATTATATCGGTGTGCTGTAGAGGGTTAGGGGTATTTACAGCCGCAAACACTTATTAATTACACCGGGGAGAAAATGAATCAGGAACTTTTTGAACCCCCTGAGCGTTCCACTTTACATTTACTTGGGCGAAATATTCCTGGAAAATTTTCGATCGAACAGAGTGGAAGAAAATTTTATATAAGCAATTTAAACAACCAATCTATTCGGGGGCTACCAAAGCAATATATGAGCGATCATCATAGGCACCTACCTCCTCCAAACGCCAATGCTTTTTTGATGCCGACTGACTCTACGGAAGATAACTCTGCCACATAACGCTTCACCTCGCGTTTCTCTCCTCCAAAGGCCATCACGGTTCGGATGGACGACAGCACCTCCCCTGCTATTGCGCTTGCCTTTGAGTAGGCTTCCATTTCTCGTTTCATAAACGCCTTCCCCAGTACTCCGAAAGAACCAAATCCAGCCACAACGAGGGGTAACATGGCAGTGGCTACAAGAGCCAGTTTGTAGTTGACATAGTAGGCGATGACAATACCACCGAGAAAACCAGACATGTGTTGAACGAACTCGCCCAGTTTGGTGCCCATACCCTGTTCGATGTTGAATATATTATCGGTAAGCTTGCTCAAAAGAGAACCCGCAGCATTTTCGTCGTGCCAGGCTACGTCTTGACGGTTGATCGCCTAGAACAGCAAAATGCAAAGAAATGTTGTTTTTGATTGTAGAATGGTAACTAAACCCGTATATATATAAAGTCAAAAACTCCCTCTTTAGGGGTCTTCTCAGAATGGATGTTTATTCATTCTGCGGTTAACAGTGAGTGTATTCTTCAAAACCGTTATCCGAGCATTAAGCGTGTGAACATCAAGTCACGACACGCAGATGGCGCGTTACACCAATGTTGTAGAATTAAAATGGGTAAAGATTCTCATTAAATTTATAACCGGCGTTTGTTTCTCAATGGAACTGTTGAGGAAAGCCTTTTGCACTCTTGAGATACCAGTTAAGTTTCTGACGACGATTCTGGGATACACCAAAAGCGGTCTACTGTGACCACCAATCGCTTGCTACCAATTACTTTGCTGTGTGGTTTCCTGTCGATTAATCCGATTACTCAACTCGTTTTCAGAGGAATAGCTTAGATACAAACCAGCCAAATACGAAATGGGTAGACAACGGACCATTCACACTTTTGAGCCTGCAATCCATGTTCGGTGATCTCATCATCTGTGGAAGCTCAACAGAAGTTCATGTAAACTGTTTTCTGTTACCAAGCTGGACGAAATTGTGTAAAAATTCAGTATGACGATTTCGAATCCTCCAGTAGCGCAACAGTTCTCGATTTTGTGTCAGCTGTTATTATGTTCACATTGTGTTGAGTGACTAAATTCGAGAATCAGATTCTCCTTTGAATTGGGACAAGCACATGCCCATCAAACTAAAGTGTTTTGCTCTTAACATTTTGTTATTGAGATATTGCTGGACTTGGTTTTTATACACAGTAATATAATTACTTATTTGTCTTGCAAATAACGGCAAAAATACAGCCTACGCATTGACCGCAACTGAACCACGTTTATGATTGCATATGATTGCGCCCGGGCTTAGCCCTATTCCCACTGTCTGTCATCAGGTTTTTGGGAAATTTCGGGCACTTCCTATCATCTTTCTATCCAGTTAAAAACTTCGGTCATTGCTGTTGGAGAAAAATATGTACATTCAATCTCTTTGGCAGCCACAACATATCTAGATAGAACAACCTATTCCTTAGGGCTGCTTCCATCAGGACACTGGTATAAAGTATCCAACACACCATAGATGAACGTGCTCAAGAAGTATTTGTATCCCGTTTCTTTCCTTCCTACGATGGATGAACATGCTCAAGAAGTATTTGTATCCCGTTTCTTTCCTTCCTACGTACATATCAGAGCATTTGATCTCAGCAGTCGTGAGGGCCCAAACGAAAAATATGGCTTTGTTCCCAATATAAGGTAAATGAATGAAGGTACTCACCTTGAAAAAGAGCGAACGTATCCTACGTGTCTGTCGCTTTGCGGATATGCTCACAAATCCAACTTGCGTGACGCACAGTATGAAAAGAACTTCCGCCATGATAACGTAATAAAAAAGATACTGCTTAATCACGCTGAATGAGAATGTCGACGGGGTTATATTGTTGATGATTTCTCGGAAAATAAGCATGGCGATCGGACTCGAAAGCCCCACAATCGATGCACACAGCAAACCGATGATAAGTATCACTCGTTCAAAAGTGGTAGCATATCTGAACTTTCGAATTTGTTATTTCATGTTACGTTAGACTCACCAACTTGAATATGCTCACCGCTGATCCCCCTTGCGAAATACTAGTAAGCAAGTACACGAGGAGTTATTTTGTATACCTTTCTTCATTCTGGTCACATGACTCGCTCTTTCTAATACATTCGACTTCGTCCTCCATCGTACACCTGAGTACGCGGTCGTGCATGGGCCCTTAAATTGGCTCATTTTCGCTGGCCTTTAAAGTAGATCACTCAAACAAACAACACCTAAGATACAAAGTTCCCTGAGCAGTGAAATATAAAACATATGCTTACTTATCCACAAAACATCGATTTTGAGATGTTATTATACTTCTACTTCGTTGTTACTACCAATGGTAAAATATTGAATGTGGGGACTTTACGTGTTTAAAATATCAAGTGTTCAGTTTGTCTGAATATGTTCTGCAAACGCTTTTGCGAAAAATTCCATAGGATGGAGTAAGTGAAGACATTTCAAGTTTAAGACCTTGGGTAAAGCCTTTTGGGCTGATTAATCCAGAAATTCTAAGTGTGTTTTGACAGAACTCCCGGTTAAATAGGGGATAATTTTACAAGTATCTCATGAATTTCAATACACATCCAAGTAATTCTATCATGCATGCATACTTAATGGAGAGCCTAAATTAACTGGTTTAACTACTGGCCAAAAATGTTAATCGACGGACCGCACCTGAATATCAGCACGGATTCCATACTCTGGAGAAAATGTAGTAGTGCGCCCTTTCAAGATTAATCGCAGAGAGATACCATAATCAAGTTGCGCAAATATCGCATATTCCTGGAATACAACTTCGGCCATGGTGTGGTCATTTTCAATGGATGACACTATTCCAGTGGCGATTTACTTGAAGTTGAAAATTCAATAATGCTATTTCATCTCAAATAGTTGCAACAGTAAGCACGAATAAAACGTAATCAAAGTTTACCGTAGGGTGAAGACTGTACGAAATCTGGGTACAATATAAATCGCTCTTCAGGGAAGTATATTACTGTGAATTAAGGATGGTAAATGACCCAAAGTATATAGCAGCTTCACCTTAGTGAGTTAATTTTTAATTCAATTCACTTTCATTGGCAGTTTCTGTATTGTAGTGTATTTGTTGTGATCTGAAATGGGAGCAAAGTAGATTTGGTGCATCTTTGACCGAAACCATCTAATTTACGTGACCGATTCATATAGTATGGCCTCACGGTCAAGGGTCTCTTGGTGGTGACCACTCCACATGTACAGAAACTCTCAATTTTCAGTAATGTTCTTATCAGAGTTAAATGCACCTTGGTTGTTCAAGCTGGAATGCCAAAACCAGTTGCATCAGAACATACAATCTTTTCAAGAAGGGACATGTCTTGCTACCTAATGCTCTAATTTTTCATGTCGACCCATGCCAAAATATGATAAAATGTAGCAATTTGATTGTCACTTTATGTGTTACACCATTGAATGAACAATCGTCGTATTCTGAGTCGATTCCAGATGCTTCAGACGAGGATATCAGAAAGTTGCGCTACAAACTAGAATTCGTGACTGGTTGTGAACTGTATCGAATAATGGAAAGTGCAACCGCATGCCAGTATGCATTTAGACCTTGAGCCGAAATTTGACATTTTGTTCCTGATGTTTTGTTTTGTTTCAAACGGAGGGATAATTCTCTATTACCAGGGGCCCACTGCGTTCTCTCAGAGTAATGCCTGGAATTCGGAGACGCGCAGTCGTTCCCTCAGAAAATTCGTGCAACCTAACCCCATCCCTTCAACACTTAGGTTGAAGGTCGTAAAAATTGAATTCATGAGAGAATTCGTCCCCTTCCTAGATTGCAAAACGATGGAGGAGAGGCGACTCTTTGCCAGCATTGGGAAACGCTAAGCCTCTGAATATCACTAAAATTTAGATATTCAATTTGCTATCTTAATAGCCAGCTCAATATGAAAATTTTTTGTGACATTCGAACGTTGGCTTCATCCGCAATAAGTACCACCTGTACATAACTCAGGGAGTTTCAATATACATTACCTTTTCTGTACATGTATATTGGTCTAAAAAATTAATTTACGTGTAAGGACCTGGGTAATGGTCTTCTACAGGATGTTTAGATGTTTTGTGAAATAAAGTGTTTCCAAACCCAGCTTTCGAGCCAGCCCAGCTAAATGTTAAGGCATTAGACAAAGAAAAAGAGAACCATCATCTGATTAGTTTTATCCCGCTGTTCTTTTGATAAACACTTTTCAGTCGATTGTGCTTGTTTTTTATATCTCATTGTTTCCAGAGAAGTTAAGATAGCTCAAACCGATTTTGTATTCACTTGCAGAAAAATAACGGGCTGTAGATTAAACGCAACCCATAATTATGCGAACAGCACGCTCCGTAACACGAAGTAACTACTACTGAAGCACAGGTTAGTAACTAATAACCCATGTGAACAGAAAGCTCGTATTTTTGAGGAAAGAGTTACAAGCGTCTCAGATTGCAGTGTTTTTGGGTCGAAACGAGCGGCCTGTCGCATCAGTACGGCTTATGGCGACAGCATATCTCGTTCTGGGAGCCAGTGTTGAAATAGGGCCTAGCAAACTGTCATTGAGAACTGCCGGGTCCTAAGAAGCACCTGTATGACCAACGCAGCTTAGAGTTTAAAAAGATATATAAAGTTGCTCAAATAATGTGACACTTAGCTGGGCTAAAACTGCTCCTGTTTTTGAATCAGGTAATGCTTTGGCAAATAGCCCTTGGTTTATTACTATAGAACTATCAGCAGGACTTGGAATTAAACAACAAGGTATTCAACGCAAAATATATGCAGCCTTAAATTCGGGGAAGGGGAGTACCATTACAGGACGCAGTCAATCATAATTCACTGTAAAAGCGAATCTAATTAGCCATCTTGCATGATTCAAGTAACTTTCACGAGTCTTAAATTCGCGGAAGGGGTGTACCATTACAGGACGCAGTCACTCATAATTCACTGTAAAAGCGAATCCAATTGGCCATCTTGCATGATTCAAGTAACTTTCACCGGTTCACGTATTTCTGAGCTCTTTCAGAGTACCTGAGAGTTTGTAAATTTATATAAACTACGGTTTGGAAAACTAGATGAGCAATAATCGAGCATGAAGTTTCTGACCAGAATTCAGTAAAATTGCTAGACATTTTGAACGAATCGAAGGTGAATAGTAGGTGACACTTACCTAACACCAGGTGAGTTGAAAAACATATTCGTTGCCTCGCATATTCTCAAAAGTTTGTCTGTCACCATTTACGGAACTATCCAACTTGGAACATGACCAAACATTCTCCCAAATGCGGGTCAACTTCAAAGTGCTTGTGTCCATAGATTGTGTGTGTGGTACGTTATAAAAGCCATCTACGAATGAGGTGTCCCAAGATTTTGTGGATTATCACCTTTGTGTTCTCCTCTGTATCAAAATAATTTAGATGAAAACCAGGTTGTTTTGCAAATGAGTGAACTTATCGAAAATAGTCCAGTTGGGGTTCAAGTAGAACATAAGGTTGACGGAAACTCGGGGACTGCATCTACCTAATGAGCCCAAGAATACAGAAACCGGTCGTGGGCTGTCGAAGAGTTTCCAGCAAACTTGTGAGTAGTTTTCTTTATGAAAACTGGGGTATATTTATATATTACGCTGCTGACATTGGGCATGGTTAACAGACTACATCTGGATTACTTCAGAGACGGCTTACCACAACAGGCGAGTGAATAATATCATACATGTGCATCAATACCTATTTCGTCCTTGATGTGTGTGTGTTTGAATGATAAACTTGACGAAAGCAAGCTTCAAAAATGCTCAACAGCGCACACGTGGAAAGCCCCGAAGAAGGGTAAGAAATGATCATTCCTAAATGTACCAAAGAGGAAACATCTAAAACTCAAGTATTTCAAAAGAATAATCACAGAGTAATCATTCAACTATCAAAGCAATCACCAAGCAAATAGTAAGTGAGGTTGCCTCCATAGTCTATCTATGAGTGCGGGAACATAAGTTGGCACAATAAAACTCACAGGAACAAAAAGGAAATCTAGGATATCCGAAGATAGAGTTGATCAGAAAGAGCCTGAAGAAGAAGGAGTATCTTTACAACAATCTTCAACAGAACAAACAAGTAAATGATCTTTTCTAAATTTACGATCATTTCTGAATTAACAACAGAACTGTCAAAACTATTATCCCTAATTTTTGAAGGGCAAGAGTGGTAGATGTGTAGTACGTAAAGGAGAAATAGTAGATAAAACGACGGAATCGTCCCACTCGAATGCATGTCTTCAGTATTTCCCAGTCAGGCAAGATTATTTTTAACCTACGTAAGAAGGTTTGTCATCAGAAAACACGTCGGAATCAGAAAGACACGGATTAGCACGCCAAATCCTACTACTATTACACACTAGTCAACTGTTGTCTTGAAAAAAAGGCCAAGATAAAAGCAGGCAGCAAAAATAGTATCATCCACCAGACACAATACAATGACTTCAGCAACAACGACTTTTGGTCAACAGAGGGAAAACCCTGTAGACTAATACAGGAGCATAAGACCACCAGAAAAAGACGGCATTCAAAAATATCATGGTCATTAAGCATGAAGACCCTGCTACGCTTAGTCCCAATGCATCCGACGGAAGTCCTAGAAGCTTGATGCTCTACAATATAAAGAACCGGAGCTAATCTACATGACCATGCGAAGAAGGGACTTTCAATTCAATGAAAGCGGTCAGTCGGGATGACATACCGGGCACCTATATTTGCTCTCAGGAACAGCCATGAACTAACGTAGCAGAGTTGACCATTCAGAGTTTAAATTCCATCCCTATATGGATGACTAATAGCACATGCCACTCCACCAATCGATTGTACTTCACACCCGGACGAAGAGACCTACTGCAAGGTCATCCCGGACTAGCTATATGCACAGTCGGAACACGTTTCAGCAACCGGACATCAACCCTGATAA